CCCCCAGTGAGGGCTGGGGTGTGGCTCAGTGGTAGAGCCCCTGCCTAGAATCCCCCAGTGAGGGGCTGGGGTGTGGCTCAGTGGTAGAGACCCTGCCTAGAATCCCCCAGTGAGGGGCTGGGTGTGGCTCAGTGGTAGAGCCCCTGCCTAGAATCCCCCAGTGAGGGGCTGGGTGTGGCTCAGTGGTAGAGTACTTGCTAAGCTGGGGAAGCACTAAGTTCCATTCCCATTGCTGCCAAACAACAAATATCTCACAGGGTTCATGGTTAACATCACTTGCTCTCCAGAGGCTTCTGATCATGAATTCTATCAGTTAAACATTGTGGCACATAAAACACATGTTTTTATAGTTACATTTCTATTTATGTCAATACTACTATTCCAATTGGATATATTATAGAAACGGAAAGCAAAAAGCATGAGAAAAATAGAAACAAATGTAACGAACCAGTTTGGTTTCTATTGCTGTGACCAAGCCATTCAGTGGTGGCGAATGCCTTTTATCCCAGCACTTGAGAGGCAGGTGAATCCCTGAGTTTGAAACCAGCTTAGTCTATGGAGTAAGTTCCAGGGCAGCCAGGGTTACATAGAGAAACCTTGTCCCAAAGCAACAACAACAAAACAAAATAAAAAACATTATGACCATCAAAAACAAAAACAAAACAAACAAACAAAAAACCATTCTGACCAAAAGCAACTTGGGGAGGGTAGGGTTTATTTTTCATCTTACAACTCGCAGGTCATGCACACAGTCCATCACTGAGGGAAATCAGGGCGGGAACCTGGAGGCGGAGGCCATGGAGGAGTGCTGCTCACTGGCTTGCTCCCATGGCTGTTCTGTCTACTTTCTTATACAACGCAGGAGGACCTGCCCATGGGTGGTACCACCCACATTGAGCTGGGCCCTTCCATCCCATGTCAATCATTAATCTAGAAAATGCCCCCCACAGACTTCCCTATGGGCCAGTCTGATGGAAGAAGCATTTTCTCAGTTGAGGTTCCCGGATGACCCTAGCTTGTGTCAAGTTGACAAAAAAACTAATCAGTAGCTATGAGTTATTTACACCATGGTCTTAGGGTGAACAGGCCTGCAGGGAGATAGCTATCAATCTATTGTCTTTTCCTCTCCCATCTGTCTGTACTTTCTCTCTCTCTGTCCATCATTAGGCACTTATACTACACTGTACAGGGCCCTGACTTGGGTGTGGCTGTGGGTCATAGAGAAGAAAAGAGAAGGATAAGATGGAAATGAACAGAAATTTGTTTATTTATTATTATTTGAGACAGGGCTTCTCTGTATAGCCCTGGCTATCCTGGAACTCACTCTGTAGCCCAGGCTGGCCACAAACTCGCAGAGATCCGCCTGCCTCTGCCTCCCGAGTGCTGGGATTATAGGTGGGCGCTACCACTGCCCAGCCCTGAAATGAGAATTTATAAAGAAATAATTACCTACCTCGCTTCCATCCTTACCTGGGAAACAGTAGGTATTCAATTTGTGTGTTTCCTGAACACAAAGGACAGCTCTGAGGCAGATATTGTGGCACATGTCTGTGATCCAAGCACTTGACGGGCTGAAGCAAGAGGATCTTCAGTTCAAGGTCAGTCTGTGGTACGTAGTGGCTTTGAGGTCAGTCTGAGCTACATAGTGAGATCTTGTCTCAACAGACAAAACAATAAAAAAGGCAGCTTAGCTGCTTCCAGTGTGACCATTGGCGCCTGGGACCCGAGGAGTCCAGTGGGGAGGAGCCCACTGTGAATCGATGCCTGAGCCCTGTATCCTGATACTTTGTCAGTGGGGCTCTCGGCCCAGACCCTGGCACACACCAGGGATGACACACAGTGGGCATTGAAAATGGCGGTTGGCTACATAGACACACCTCGTTTGCCTTCCTTGTGCAGTGTAGAGTGGCTGCTGAACGCCCAGCCCTGAGCCTCATTCTTGTGGGCTATCAGAGGGTCTAGAACCACTCCCCATCTGTGGTCGCCCCAACAACTTGAGTGTGCTCAGCCCTTCACAAAAAAGCCTGTCTCTTGACCTGTGTCTCTGCTTGCCCGGGGCCTCGCTTTCCCCGTGGCTCTGCTTTTCCTTTGTTTCTGAGACAGGCTCTTGCCCTTGTAGCCTAGGCTACCCCTTGACTATGTAGTCCCAGGCTGGCACGGAACTCTGGATCTTCTGAGATTTCTGGGACTACCCCAGGTACACGTTTCCTCATTTTGCTTCTGACTGTCCAACACTGAGGGCAGTGTTGGCTTTCTCAGAGGCTCTCCCTAGATTAGACTAGCCCATTCTTACCAGCAGTCAGCAAACCAAGGCTCCAAACAGAAGCCTTCATAAACTATGTCCAAAGCTGCGGCTGTATTCTGCTTCCAGCTTCCCTATGGAGCAGTTACCACACTCCCATTTGCTTCATTTAAAAACTTTAAAATGACTTTTTCTCGTGTGTGTCACTTAAGATTTTTAAGTTACATTTATTTGTGTGTGTGGTGGGGAGCATTAGTGCCATGGTGTGCTTGTACCTGTCAGAGGACATCTTGTAGGAATCAGTTCTCTCTTTCCACCATGGGAATCTTGGGATGGAACTCTGGTTGTTAGGTGGCAAGCTCCCTTACCCACTGAGCCATCTTGCCAGCTTTTATTTTATTTATTTATTTATTTATTTATTTATTTATTTATTTAGTTAGTTAGTTAGTTAGTTAGTTTTTTCGAGACAGGGTTTCTCTGTGTAGTTTTGGAGCCTGTCTCGGAACTCACTCTATAGTCCAGGCTGGCCTTGAACTCACAGAGATCCGCCTGCCTCTGCCTCCCAAGTGCTGGGATTAAAGGTGTGCGCCACCGCTGCCCAACTCCTTTATTTTATTTTTATCCATTCATTTCTTTGTGGTACTGTTGACTGAACTGAGGTACTCATGCATGCTAGGTACTCACTCTATAATGCTCCTAGCCCTTCACTGGGGGATTCTAGGATGGTGCTCTACCACTGAGCCACACCCCCAGCCCCTCACTGAGGGACTCTAGGCAGGTGCTCTACCATTGAGCCACACCCCCAGCCCCTCACTGGGGGATTCTAGGCATGGGCTCTACCACTGAGCCACACCCCGGCCCCTCACTGGGGGATTCTAGGCAGGGGCTCTACCACTGAGCCACACCTCAGCCCCTCACTGGGGGAGTCTAGGCAAGGGCTCTACCACTGAGCCATACCCCAGCCCCTCACTGGGGGATTCTAGGCAGGGGCTCTACCACTGAGTCACACCCCCAGCCCCTCACTGGGGGATTCTAGGCAGGGGCTCTACCA